AGGAGTATGCTTTCAGCACAGGGAGCAAGCAGAGATCCTGCAGGTATAAATGGACACTGCACTACACATGTGGCTGTTCTTGGAAGTCAACCATTTCTGCAAGTTATTCTCAAGAGGCGTGATGTACTATAAGCACTTAAGAAATGTGTTACACTGTGACTGGAACCAAGATGAAACAGCGAGATTAAAAGAGATGGTTTAGTTTATGTAGTGGCCAACTATGCCATTAAACTAGAACAATGGGGATGATGGGAAGGCAGGAATGTCCTCCAGTGTGATTTATTCCTTTCCAGTAGCAGTGGAAATTTTTCCTATAGGCCTGAAAATGACCCTGTCTGCCAACAAGAAGTCAGCATTAAGATGTAAGAGTTCTGCTAGATTAGTCACCTCAGGATACTCTGCTCTCACAAGGCACAGGGATCTCAAAGCCCTTTGCCAGAATGGGTCAAAAGCCCTGCAAAGACCATGCCTTAGCATTGTGTTTGCTGAACCATCATTTTTTGGTCACTTCAGAAAGAGGGAAACTGAGGCTTGAAGTATTGATTAAACATATGTAAAGAAGGCTCTATGTCAGAGTCAAGAGTGAAACAAAGGCTTCCTTGATCCTAAGCTTTACAGGAAATGTGCATCTTCCTTGGAAGGGTAATTGTTTACTGCAGCTGAGAGCAGCTGGGTCAGCCAAGGCAAGAGGAAATGTTACTGGGCAATGGTTATCAGGCAAACAATATAATGCCATTTCCACTTCTGCCAGCCAATGTGACCTGTTCTGCCCGATGTCACACATGGGAAAGGCTGGTCCCTTGAGAAGCAGCCAGGGTTTGGCACCTAAGCCCGGCTGATTTTATGCACATGCATCAGCTACACTCATGGTGACCCTGTGCATCTACCTGCTCTTTTGTGCTCCTGTGCTCTCACATTATGGGAATTGCCATGCTAGAGGCTGCCCTATTGCCCCACAGAATATGAAGAGAGGCTCAAAATGTCTCCCGATAAGACCTTTTCTCCACACAAGGACAGTGAGTCCACAGTCCTCCAAGAGGCCTATGAAGTAGTAATAGGGATGGTTTGAAAGGAAGCAACATAGCCAGCTACAAAAGATGCCTTCTGCACACTGATCTTTTAATTACCCCCCAGACAACATTGTGAAATCCAAGCAAGAAGAACAGAATGAAGCCCCATGTCCATCCCTTCCCAATTGTCAGACCTACTCCCCGTTCTTTACAGCCTGGCACACTGAGAGTGGAACCATGTGCAGCTGCACAGGCTACGCTCCTCACAGTCGCCTCCCTCAAAAACAGCCTCCTACCCACTTCCTTCCTCTGCAGAGTAACAAGGCGCTCTTCAGCCTCATGCTGTCTCTCCCAGCAGTCTGGTTCCAATATCGGGGATTCCACATCAGACAGCTAACCCCGAGCAACAGCATATGTGGCGAGAGATCCTCCTGCTGCACCACAGCAGACACGAAGGTGCTGAAATCTCCCCTTACCCTGGTCCTAATATGCAGTCAGCTCAAAGGGATAGAGAGCAACAAGGACTGTTCAGTCAGAGCCAGCATGAAGCACCAGGCAGAAACAGACAGATCCTGAGATACCAACCTGCTGACGTACAGCAAACGCCTCATTTTCCAATGCACGGAGCCCACCTCTTCCTTTAATCTCCCTCAGTGCTGTGGCAGCTCAGCACTGCTGGAAAAGCTAAGCAAAGACTAAACAAAGTTCTCTGTCCCTGATGAAGCTGTGCTACAAATTACTCATTACATCCTGACCTTCCCACTCCAAGATAAAATCCTCCTGACCTCAAAAGTGTTTCGCTCGAAGGAGTACACCTAAGGCTGACAGTGAAGTTAAGCTTTTGCTGCCTGAAAACCAAGTCCTCCCATCCCAACATGGGTTTTAAAATAAGGTGAACTACATCATGGATTTAATTCCAGCTTTCACTTCAAGTATTTTCACTTTCACAATGTAAACTATGTCCAGGGTGCAGTAAGGGGGGGGGATTGTTTGTGTTTTTTCCTCCTAAAAAAGAAACCTACACAAGAGATGACAATCTCTTCCTACACAAAGTCTGTTTGTTTTGTTCATATTGCTGGGTTGCTCTCATTCAACTGCAATGACAGTTGTCAAAAGTAGAGATACCAAACTTGCTCACATTTCTCTTGCAGTGGGAAGGAAACAAGACAGAGATCAGCTGACTGCATGCAAGCATTTAGCAACCTGCCTGTGCTGTCACTGCCCTCCGTGAGCGATGGGTGTTTCACAATCAGAAATATGAGCAACTGCCTCAGCTGTGTAGTGCTCAGCCAGCAGCTACAAAAGTGTGGTCCAGACTTAGGAGAAAAGGTAGACAAGACTATAATCACTTTCACCCCAAGGCACACTCTGATTTTCAGTGGGGCAAGTGCATCTTTTATGGCGTCACAGTAGATGCCATTTCTACGAGCAGGAACCGGCACAGACTAACCTCTCCACATCAAGCACTAGGAGCTGATAATCACAAAGAAACTGGAGCTTACAATGTGACAAGGAAGCCTGCTCCTGACCCACACAAATCCTTCCCCCTTTTTAAGAGACTGAAGTAATCTTCCAGGGTGCTGCCTTGCTGCTCGGAGAAGCACTGCTCTGGAGCCTCTGTGGAGCTTGGGCATGCTTCATGGGAGCAGAAGCAAGACCCATTCAAGTGTTTTCACTCAATATTAAAGCTGCCACTTCCCAATTCTCATGCTTCCCGCAGGGATCAGTCACTGCCCTGTCGGCTTTTTTCCCCAGGGTCTTAATTGCAGCCTGACAGTTTAAAGGGATACCTTTAGAAATACACACACATCCCTTCTCCCAAAGTTGCTACGGTTTGCCTAAAATAAATAAATCCCCAAGACATGGCTACATTTGCAAGTGATTCAGAAGAATGAAATTGGGGTCTCTGTGTCAGTGGGTCTGCCAAGTGTGAATGACAGCATGCTCTGTACAGCCAGCTTCAGCTGCTCCCACCACCAATACATGGGGTTTGCTACCCCTTGTTGCAAGGAGAGTCCAGGCAGCAACAGGGGAATAAAAACGAACTGTAAATACAGGATGTATTATGAAACATCAGGCACTGGTTGCAGGATTTGAGGGGAAATGAGGGAAAAATGTAATAAATTATTTTCAACTTCTCTTTTCAAACATATGTGAAGAATCAGCGGGGTTTAAGCAGGAAAGTGTGAGTTTAAATTTCACAATAGTAACAGTGGGCTTGGGTAGGTACATTTTATTGTATAAAACAAACTGCTGCTCTTCCACACATAAAAGAAGGCAGCAGGAGACAGAGTATCATACACAGTACTGCCTAAAGCATGCTGGCTATGTCAACAGATTATCTCGCTTTGGACTGTCTGGACTGTTACTAATATGCAACTGAATATGCAACCAATCCAACAACAACAATGCTATGAAATGATTTTTTTAAATGAAATTATATTAACCTTTTTTCTTTAATTATCATGTTACAAATATAAAAGGAAAGCAGATGTGACCATCATGGATGTGCAAGCTGAGTATTAATAACAAAAAGCATCCCCTCCCCCTTGGAGGATAAAGCAAAGTTGGATCAGTCCTTTTGCAAATTAAATCCTGAAAGTGTTCGCACTGTAGCTGTCAAGAACCCTCTGGTGTGTTTGCATATACACACACAAAGCTGAAGCCAAAACAATTTTAATAGGGTAAACCTTTAGAGATCCAGCCCTACTCCAGCTGGATGACAATGCTACATCCGAGTGTACCCCTGCAGCCCTACTGTCCACATTTCTCCACACACACACTTTTGAGGAAAAATTAAATGAACATCCCAAGCTATCACCTACTGGAGCCCAACACACAGTACCCTCACACTAGCCAAGACTAAAGTGAATGCTGGTAAGACGAAACCCAGTGGCTCGTTATTCTTATACCTCCAGTGTCATGGGTCCGTGCGCTGCATTAGGACCACATGTCATCCCAACCACACTCCACTCTTCCTACTCACCACAGGATATTTTTTTTTCTTGTAAAGAGACAGTAGTTTCCAGGATTTCACCTGGTTTATCACCTCTACCAGAAAATCACATTAAGAAACAGGATTCACAACATCCTGCCATAATAAGGAATCCTGCCTTTCCTTTTCCCTGAGAATCCTAGCTGGTAATTATTCATAGATCTATGCATTTGGGCTCACAGTCCATTTTATACAACTCTTTTCCTTGTAACCTACTCTTCTGCTTGGTCTTATTTATTCACACCACAAATCATCATTTTAATGCATGTATAATACTTGATTTCCATCTTTATCCCAAATCTGCCTGCATATGAACCCTACAGTGCTTCAGAACACATTGCTTTACTGGAACCAGCCTAAGGCGTCATTGTTTTAAGATACAGCAAGAAGTGTGTGCTTCTCTGCACCTTCTAAACCAAGAAAGAATAAAAAAGAATGAAAAATAAGCCACCTCCCTAGTTACACAATTTAGGCTAAAAGCTTTCGCTAGTGCTTTCACACACCTGCCCACCCTCCACCTCTGATTCAAGCTATGATTTTTATTGACATATACTAATTACCTGAAAATAAGAATGATCTATTCCTTTTCCACCAGCTGCCAGATGACAGCACTGGCTGGAAGTGAACAGCCTTGTTTAAAAGAACAAAACCAACAACAACAAAAAGCTCAAGCTCAAAAATAAAATGAAAACACCCTAAAAACAAAAGCCTAAAGAATGCCACCGGATCTCAGGTGCTGCCGGGTGTGCTCGGAACGAACTGAAGGCAGACAGATACGAATGGACTGCTCAGTTTGTCATGGCAAAAATAATACAGAGAATTAGAGGTCTACCCACGCAGAAAAAAAAAAACCAAAAAGAACCACCAAAAAAAAAAACCAACCAAAAAAACACCCAACCCTGAATCAAAGAACAAAAATAAAGTCATAAATGCAGCCCCAATGCATCGACTGCCTGCGCTTAAGAGATTTACAGGAGTTAATTTAAATGATTCACCTGCTGCCAGTTTTCCTCCAAGGATGGCAAAGCTGAGAAGTAGCCGGTGTCGTGGACAAGCTGGAGTTCCTGGAATATACTATAACTAGCCAAGACATCCATGCTGCTGCTTGAGCAAGACCCTCTCTTTCTGCTTTTGTGTGTGTTTGTTTGCTGGGGTAGGGGGGTTGTTTTTGATCATAAAAAAAAAAAAAAGGAGAAAGAAAATCAACCAATGATAGATCCAGCGTCCCTTTGGCTTTGTTTTGTTTCAGTCACACTTTAAAAAAAAAGAGAGAGAGGAGAGAGAATCAGCGCGGAGGGACGGCGACGGCCGGGGGCCGGGCCGAGGAGGACGAGCGGCGCCGGCACGCACCGAGCACCCCGCGGCCGCCGCACCGGGGCACGTCCCCGCCGCCGCGCACCGCGGCCATGCGCGATGGCGACCGCCCTCCCTGCCCCCTCCCCTCTTTATTTTCGGGAGATCACTTTCCCCCTCCCCGTTCTCCTCTCACCCTCCCTCGGCAAGCCCGGCCCGGCCCGGCCCAGCCCCCCCCCGCCGCCGCTGCCGCCGCTCCCTCACGGCCGCCTCACGGCCGCCCCGCCCCCCCCCCTTGCGTCGCGCAGCCGCGCGACCCACTCAGGCAGCGCGTGACCATGTAGGGTAAACGGCGGGGCGGGAGAGGCGGGCCAGCAGCGCTCCTGAAGTCGCTCTCGACCAATGGCGCCCCCGCTCGGGGAGCTGGGGGCGGTGCCGGGTCTCGCCGGTGGCTACGCTGATTGGTCGGCAGCGCGGCTCCCGCCTCCTCTCCGCGGCCCGCGAGGCGGTGCGCGGAGAGCTATTTTTAGGGCGCTATATAAGGGGGCGGCGGTGCGGGCGGCAGCGGTAAAGCGTGGTGTGGTGAGGGGAGGCGCGGAGCTTTCGTGCGCCGGCTCGGCCGCGGCTGCCGGGTGCGACAGGAAAGCTCTGCTAAACCGGTGCTAAACCGCGGCTCTTGGGAGCCGGTGAAAGCCGGCACGGGCGCTTGGTGCCTTCCGAGCAGCCCGCAGTGTGTGAGGCCGTGTACCTGTCACCAGCCACTAGCGCTCGAGTCCTCGGGGACAGACCTAGGAAGGATCTGGGCTTTTTCTAATCGCAGTTGTCTGGAAAAAAGACAAGTGGGTGGCAGAGGGAAGCAGATTGGAAATATACCCTGTGCAGGAGCTGCCAGTGTAAGGAGCATGTGGTCGGTGCCTGTATGGGGGGACAACACTAACCCAGCTTCTAAGGCAAAGTCAGCAGTGTTAGTGCAGCCAGGCTATCTCCAGAAATGCTTGTGTGCTTATTAAGGCATCTATTACAGCATTTAACCAGGCTTAGCTGTGTTCTGAGCCCTCTTCTGAGTGTTTGGGTTGGCTAATGAGCTGTTTGACCTTAAATGGTTAGCGTGGTGCAGAGCTTCCCCAAAATCGTGCTGGCCCTGGGCATGGTTGTGTTTCTGCTTTTGGAAAGATTGCAGAACCGAGTGCGCTCATTTAAAGATGATGTGGGGAGTGTCCAGTAATGGAAGAAATATGTTCTTTTTGTTGCGCTCGAATGTGGAGTGCACTGTAGTCCCACCAGTTGTTTCGCCAGGGTCCTATCTAGTCACGAGGTTGCTGGATGAGCATCCCCCGGTGCCATTATATGGTGGACTGTGAGCAGTGTGAGTTTGGGTTATCGGGGCAAGCAGATGCTGCCAGGGGTTGTTAAAACTTCCTGGGTTTAGGGCAGTTGCATGAGACTCTTAAGTGACCAAGGTATCTCTACTTGCTATTGTCTTCCTCTTGCAGCCAGATGTGAGTGCCTCAGCTGGTGTAAATTGGTGCAATGCCACTAGTACATGCACATCCCATGTGTCCCCACTCAGATTGATGTGAAAGTATGAGGCAGCAAAACTCATCAGAGCTAATTGGTTCATGGTAGGTTTCCTTTCCTTGTGATGAGGACAAATTGCCTTTTCCAAGACTGAGCCTTTGTTAACGATTTTGAAAACCATGTTTGAAGCAAGCTGCTTTTCTGAAGAAAGCCTGAATAATGGTTGCACCAACCCTACATTCTTGTAGGTGTTGGCAAGCAACACTGCTGTAACTTTGGAATAAAGCAGAGTAACCACCACGCTGTAGTCTGGGGAGTCAAAACTGAGAGAGAAAAATGAAGTGTTGCTGAAGGAGCTGCAGTAATCAGGAGAGACTGGACATGAGCAGCTTTCTCAAATAAATGGTCTCAGCTCTGCAGAAACACTTTCTGGTTGAGTCTTGTGTTGCAGAAGCAGTGGGATGGCTTATGGGAACTGTGGCTCAGGCTTTGACCCTGAAACTGCACGTCTGGATGGTCCAGGGTCATTTTACTTGGAGATGGCTGTATCCTGTGAGCTGCTTGTGAAAACATGTTTCCCAGCCGCCTCCTAGGGAGATGTGGGTTGCCTCAGACAAGACCCTCTCCAGCATCTTTAGCTTAGCAGAAAAGCTCGGTGTGAGGCTGGATGTGAATAATAAACTGCTCTTTCTCATAAATATACCCATAAATGTGTAAATGTATGTGTTAGTGGGAAGATGAGGGAAGGTTAGCGCAGTGAGCACTGCTGGAGAGGTCTTACAGACTGTTGTTACCAATTCCAGGCATGCCTCAGTCTGGCAAAGTGACACTTCCTGTGCGCCTTGGGAAGGGAAAACTTTGAGACAGAAGAGGACAGTGCTGGACTAAGGTGGTAAGACCTGGAAAGAAGCAGCACTTGGGTATCTTAACACAGCTCCTGTACTGAGAGGGCTACGTTAAAAATACCTGTTTCAGAAAAAGCTTTCAGTAAGCATTTATTCTTAAGAGCTTGTCAGATCAAGGCCATATGCATATGCAGAGGCTTTTTCTGATCTAGGCAAGGAAATAGAGGACAAGAACAGGTTTATGGTGTGAGCTACTTAAACATACATTTTTGTCCTCAAGCTCTAATTCCTGTGGCCGGAAAACATTTTGTTGTTATACTTCTGGTCTTGTTTAGCATAACTACTGTTTCAATATGTAGAAAGTTTAGTGCTCCAATGTCCAAGCTCCCTTCTAACACTGGCATGTGAGGAGACCTAACCTGTGCAAGTTGTGGATTGCTCATGCTTTGGGTTATTGCAAAGCTTGGTTTATACAGGCAGCCCAGGAGTCCCCACTGCCTTGATAGTCACCTCTGCTTGCTGCTGAGTTGCTCTCATTTGAATCAGTTAAAATCTTTCTACTTGTCTGTCTTAGCCTGAACTTTCTGCTGAACACATATCCTGTAGGAACAGGCACTTTTCCACCCTCAGGGTGAAGGTGGTTCTCAGTTATGGAGCTCAGCTGCTTTGCACCAGTGAAGTGCCCAGAATGCGCCCAGGTTGTGCTATAACTGGTGGCCAGATCCGATGAGCAGATGCTGCTCTGCCTGCCCTGGCTGGCTTCAGGAGGAATTGTGTCTGAGGGCAGGATTTTGGCTGTGAGCCTTGAGGTGAAGAGCTGGGCTACAGATCTGGCCGCTTGCCTGAGTGGTTTCCAGGCAGACATTGCATTTTTATTGTCTTGGATATTCTGCTTTGGAGGTCAGTTGAGAAAGCAGAATGGGGCTGTCACTTGGCAGAGCAGAAAGGTGCAGGCAAAATTGAATGTGGTGATATGCTGTGTATAATGCTGTCAGGGCAGCACCTGAGGTAGCATCTACCTGTGCTAACCCAGAGGTAACAGCAGGCTGTTTCTGCCAAGCTCTCTTTTGTTTCCCAGGCTGTACTGACCTTACTCTTGGCAGATGGCCACTTTCCCTGCTCCAGCCCAACCACGCCACCCGTCACGGAGAGCAACGCAATCAGGCGTGGAGGAGGAGCGATGCCTCCCCACTGCTACACAGCTGGGCTCAAGGGCACAGAGGACTACACAACAACTCAGGCAAAGGGTGCAGGCTGGACCTGCAGGGAGTGAGGATGTGTATTTCAGCCATAGCACAGCTCTGTACCATAATGGGTAAAGAGAATAGCCTGGGCAGGGAGAGGACTTTTTTAGGCCAGACCCAAACTTTATACATGGTGAAATGCTGGGAAGATGCAGGGAGGTGGAATGGCTGGTTGTGCAATAGCACAGATGGGTCTTGGCACCTGGGAAAAGGGAAGGGGGTGTATCTTTGGCATCAAGGGGCAGTGGGAGAGCTAACCACTAGTTAAAGAAAGTGAAAGAAAACATTTCCTTGTTCCTTCTGCTCTTCTAGAGAAAGAGGAAAGGTGACTTCACTTTTCTGGGAAAAGCTTGAATTTCTCATTGCCTGCCACAAGACCTCTGGCAACGACCTTATCTACCCTCTCCAAGTTGAGAGCACAGAATCACCCCCTGCACTTGGCTGGGTCGCTACAAGCCACTGCTGTGCACAGAATGGCAATTTTGGTTGCTGTGGTTGCTTTCCCTTGAGATATTTCCATCCCTACTGCCTCCAGGAGCAATGGTGAGGCATGTATAATGGGGAATTGACAGAGGCTGATTTACAGGGAACTTTGGGGTGTCTGATTTGTGCTTCATTGCTCTGGTTTGGGCAGTGACAAGGTGCCATAAAACCATCAGGTAGTATATCAGTGTACACTTTAAAGATTTCACTGGGTACACCTCCTTTAGTACCAATGAAACAGCTACACTGAGATCTCTTGTACACAGCTCTTGATGAAGTTTCCAACCCCATGGTATTCTTTGTAGTTGACAGAAGTGCTAAAGCACTTTTTCCTGCAGGGGCAGGTTGGCCTAGGTATCCAGGCTACCAGTTTCTTCTACCCTCACGTCTGCATGTTATGCTGTCAGCTGCACCTCTTCCTCTCCCCAGCTCAGACGGAGAGTTATTACAGCTTTTCTGCGTTCACAGCCTGTGACAGGGGTGTTCAGAGCTGTTGGTTCTTCCTTTGGAGTCACTCCTGGAAGGAAGAGGCTGTGCCTGCAGGTTGGGAGGGTTGAAGTTATCACTGATTGTAAAGCCTTAGAAAGAGCAAAGGGGAGGAAGAGCACTGAGAAGCCTGCTGGAGTGTGCTTGGCTCTTCAGCTGCGCCCTTTCCAGGAGTGGATGCAGAAAGCTATTGCCAGGGGAACGGTGGTGGTGGTTTATGACCAGGCAGCATAGTACCGCTGGAAGAGGCTGCCAGAGGCACAGCAGGGGAGCTGAAAAGCCACCCTGCTGTTCAGAGTTGCCACTTCCTGATACCAGAATGTATCTGTGCATCTGTGTCCATATCTGATGAGAACTAAAATCCCAACAAACATCAAGCAGCCAGAAGGGAGACAATTTCCTTTCCCCTTGTGAAGCATCTCTGCAAGCCCCAGACAGTCCAGCTGCATCCCTCCCAACTTCTTGCCTCCTCCTCAGACCTCATTTTCCTGGGGAAAGGCCTCTACTGTTGGCCCCATGGCTTTCTCCTATCCCTGCACAGCAGCATTTCAGTGATCTGGAGGGTAGTCCAGTATTTCATGCTTCCTTCTGGCAGGTGCAGCCCAGAAACAACATCCCAAGGGCACAGGGGATGGAGGTGGTTTCCTGTCTCCATGCTGAGGAGCACCATGGCTCTATCTTGCAGCCGTCACCCACACCAGTGCTTGGCTTTGCCTGGATGGGACACTGTGAAACAGGATGATTCTCTGTGCTGGGCATCTGTGGGTGAAGGTGCCTCCTGGCTCCAGCGAGCCATAAGCTGCTCCACGGATCTGCAGCGATGGATAGGGACACCAGAGGCTGTGTCACAGCAGCTTCCTTGTGCCTCCCCTCCTTCCCAAACACAGGCACCATTTGACTTCCCTTCCCTTTCAGATCAGTGCCCTGCAGACATTGCAGTGGGTTAAATTGCAGGGCAGCTAAAGAGCATGCTTCAGGATTAGAGATGAATGGGTTGAACCATAATCATAGCGTACAGTATCCAGAGTCTCGGTGGACATTGCAAGTTGATCACTGGCCAGATGCAGAAGCTGTTTGGTGAGAAAGCAGTATGTGCCATCCTGAAGCAGAATATTACCCAGTGGAGTTCTCTGGGCTGAGACAAAAATCAAAGCCCAGTGCACCAAGGGGATGTTAGAAATCAGTGCTGAATGGGCCTGATCCAGATCTGGCCTGGAGGCTTTTGACACCCCCATACTGAAAAGACAGTGAGCACACTCAGCATGTAAAAGGATTGAGTTTCCGCTTTGAAAGGGGAAGGAGTCTTCATCTGCTGTGGTTTGTTCACATGCTCTAGGGTTTTTGTATTTCTTGTAACCATTTTTGCCTTATGGCTGTGGCTGTTCACATAAGGATTGGCCTCTCTCTCCTGGTTTTCAAAGTCAGAATGCAAAGCAGTGCTGTCAGGAGAGCACTGCAGTGACTCTCAGAGCAGTATGGTGAGGGGTGAAAGCTTCCAGAGGCAGACAGGTATAACCTCAGTGTTACTAGTGGGAAACATGATTTCCTTTGGGTCCCACTGACAGCTCTGAACCCATCTGGATCTTACCGCTCCCTCTGCTGTCTTTGGAGTCCTCACTTCTGCCTGAAATGATCTGTATGTTTCTGAACCTCTTAGCAAGGGCAGTTATCATTGCTATTCTGTTGAGTGTTCAGCTTCTGGTATAAACAGTCTCTGATCATATTAGTAGGCTCTCAGGTACTTCTATATTACAAATAATAAATAATAATGAGCTGCAAGGAAAGACCTCTGAGTTTTGGGCTCAGGCTGGACATGGCTTCCACATGAGGTGTCCACTTTATAGCTCTTTCTGGGCTGCTGTTACTAGCAGTGCCGCAATGCTGCTGGGGAGAGGCCTGAGAAGAGGGTCCAGCAGCCTTTGGAGATGCTGTCAGCAGACAGGAGGAATACACATTTGTGTGCTGTGTCTCTGGGTTGGTGACCTTTTAATGACTGAGTTAGATCACACTAAGGTAATTTGTAGGAAACCTTAAAATAAAATAGGAGAATATTGGCATGGTTCAGCAGATGGTAACGAGGGACTGGTTTGTGTTATTACACACATTACTCTGGACAATGTGTTGGTTTGTCTTTAGCCAGCAAGGGCCCCTTTAAGAAGAGCTGGCATTGCAGCACAGGTGACACACACAGTGAGGGGGGCTTTGCTGTGCACAGCTCTTCTGCAGCACCACAGCAAGCACCAGTGGCACTTGGTCCCTGGGGGAAGGAGAGGGCTCTCCAGAAAGCAGGGGTTAGAGCAGTCTCGTTGGGTTATCTTCACAGACTTTTCACAGATGAAGGAAATGCAAGGCATTGAAAGCAAAGCCTGTCTTCTGCTGGAAGCTGCAGGACTCTTACTTTCACATCCTCTTGGGGATCCTCTTAGTCCTGTGCCTTACAAGAAGCTGCTGAAGACGTGGCTCTCACAGTCAAGTGCAAATGTGTGAATAAGGAAATGCTGGAGTGCAGGCAAGCAAGCTGGAGGCTCAGAGCCTAGCAGAGTGGGTCATGCTGGGCGCATGTGAATGTCCTGGCTATGCTGCTGCTCACTTGATGGACAGCTTTTCATGTTCCCCAAGAGGTGTGTGAAGAATAAAATACCTGGCTTGGCAAAAGCACGCACATACCCCACAGCAGTGGCCAGGCATCCTACAAAGAGACTGGAGCCAAACTCAACCCCAGCCAAGAGTCCCTGCTGTGATTTATCAGTCAGGCTCTGCTGGTGTGACACAGGGACATCACCTGGGTATTGCAGCATTTTCCCCTCTAAAGAACATCTCTTTGCAGACTGTTGTTGTACAAAAAGAAAAATGAAAGATGGAAATGGCTTTTCCTTGGGGAAAAAAAAAAAGAAAGCGTTGCTCACAGCCAGGCTCTTCAGGGGGCTTAGCCCTTTCCTGCTTGGCAACTGTGGACAGCTGAGAGGAAAATGGATGTTATTAAAGAGGGACAGTCTGTCTTTGGGCCTCTCTCCCACCACAATCTTTGTTCCTTGGGTTTTATTCCCTTGAGGGTCTACGTGGCTCTGTCTATAGCATGAACAACACTCAGCAGAGCATCTCATACCCATCTGACCTGTGTTGCACACTGCATCACTGAGTGATAGATACCTGGCTGCTAGTACAAAAACAGTAGCACCAAGAATGCTCCATTAGTCCTGGGGTGTTGGTTAGACAACGCTTAGCCCAAAGTCGCAAAGCAAGTCAGAACCCAAAATAAAACCCATATTCTCTCAAAGTGCAGATTAATGCATAGGGACTGCCCTGTAGCTATTGTATGTGCTCCCTTGGTGGCTGGAAAAGACTGCTGCTTCAGTTTGGGAGTTGAGGGAGCTCTGTTCAGCTTTCCTTTCCTCTGGGGCAATGCTCAGCAGGGTGGCCAGCAATTTATCATCTCTGCCATTTCTACCCATAGCAATTCCTGAAACAGGGAGAAACTGGTTATTACTATTCGAGACACTAGGAACATTGCAAGATGATTGTTTTCTAAGGGTTGGGGAGATCATTTTATAAAGTGGAGGTTGCCTGCAGAAGGTGACTGGGCAGTTGTTCTTTTTGAGGAGAGAAATAGAGGCCATACAGTTCATAAGTGGTAGCTGAGAAGACCTGAGTCTTGTTCTGCAATGCCCTGCCTTGAGAGCTGGTTTGTGGGTGGCTGAGGGGGGAGCACCACCAATGATGATGGGCATTGTCATGCCTGCCTGAGCTTTGCAAGCAGAAGGCATGTGTCTGTCATGCCTGAAGGATCCCTGCTGATTTTTTAAATCAGGAGTTGAGAGACAGAGGTGCAGAGCCTGGAGAAGTGAAGGAGGTGGAGGACATCTTTCCAGAAACTCTTGCAGATTCTTGGAAGCAGGCAAGTAGGGTCAGTGGCTGCTTCAGTCTCTGACATCACTTTCTCTCCAAAGCAATACATGAAGGCATCACTGGGTCTTTGACAGGGGAGTCACAAGGGCTTGCATGGCCTGTATAGGTGAAGGGCAACACTGCCTTCCCTTTGCTGTCAGTACAGCTCTGCTGAGAAAAAAGCCCTCTCCCATTTGGATTAGAAGGAAAAGCTCTAGCCACAGACTTCCCACCCTTCACCTCCTTCACCCTGTGTAGACCCTGCTTCACCAGGGCCCACCCATGGGGACCAACTGGGGGCTGAATCTCTGCCCTTCTGCATTTTTCAAGTGTGTAGTCCTGCTGCAGAGAACGCCCTGAGAAACCATGACTAATTCATTTCTGGGCAGAGCCACAGTGTGCGGATATATTTTTGCAGTATTTTTTATGAACCTGTTTGCTGGATTACGCACAAATTTGTGTGTGTTTTCTGCGAGTTGCCATGAGGAAGGTTAGCAGAGTATTCCTGGAAGAGCTTTCACCCAGCACTTGTGGTGTTAAGTGTGATCCTGACTTTATAAGCCGGGAGGATTGCTCTTGCTGTGCCAAAACTGGGGATGCGCAGTCCTTCTTAAGAAGAGCGACTGCTGCAGGAGCTCGCTCCAGGTCCCTTTGAAGTCAGTGGCAGATTTCCCATTGACTTAAGTAGGAACATGTGTTTCAAGAAATGAATAATATAAAGCTTGAAAAGCAAGGAGCGGTATGGTCAGGGCATGGCCTGGTTTCACCTGGAGATTCAACTTGTGTTTCACTGCCTCCGTCTCTCAGCTGTACAGTAAGCAGTGTGAGTTTGATTTGTGGAAGAGACTTATGTACTATGATTAGTAAGCTACGTTATTAGCATTAATTGGATTAGGACTGATAAACTATGGAGGGTTTTTTTGTTCCCTACCGGTAATTTCCACTTTAAATTGGGCTTCGGCAGAGTGTGTGTCAGCGTGGATGGACCCTGTATTTTTCATGCATGTTTTGTTCCTACTTTGGGCAAGCTGATAGAAAAGTCTAGGAATACAAAATAAAGCCGTCTCTCGAACAAGCACTTTAAATACAGACTTGTTTAAATACAATTGCTTGTTCAGAGCAGAATAGGCAGTTAATAAAATTACATTGATGTTTCTGTGTTGATCCTTGCGGCTGACACAGTGCATATCCCTGGCTGCAGGAAACCGGGTGAAGATCCCCCAAGCCCCCAGATGAGCAGGCACAGTGGGAGGGTTTCAACACAACATGGTCCTCAGCTTAGCTCACGTGGTCACCCATGTGTCTGTGCAGGGTCAATTCAGACCTTGGGTGCTATGGCACCAGGAGGCAGTGCTGGAGTCTCCAGCCAGGTCTAAGTTACCTGTTAGTTTTAATTCCTTGTAGGGTTTTATGAAATACCACTGTTACTGGTGCATTGCTCATTGCTTCTTAGTGGTAGCACCAAAGGATGAACCTTGCTTTTTGTGGCCTGGGAGACAAACTTGCTTTTATCTTACCTTAGAAATAGGGGGACTGTTGGGTCCAGCCTCCACTGAGCAGGAGTGTGTGTGTCAGGCAAGAGGGCTGGATACTTAACCAGAGGGATAGAAGTGCTGAGTGTGACCAGAAGCACCTGCTATTCCAAGCTCTTGTGCAGGAATTGCTGCAAAGAACTCCAACAGAAATGAATTTTCATCCTAAGGACATGCAGAGTTTTTTTGAAATGGAGGCGTTTAATGGGAATGTGCCAATCTGGGCATACTTTTCGACAGGAAAGTCAAAGTGAATCCATTTGAGCTTTTCTGGTTTGTTTTGATAATGGTGAAATGTCTTGTTTTGACAGAGACAGAATTGTCATTTCCATGATGCAAAAGTGTTTTACTTCCACCTTCTTGTTTTGCTACATTTTCTGCTTGCTAGCTATAAATACACTGTTCATAACAGTTATTAGTTTATCATTATCTTTTTATAGATTATATTTAATACTGTATCTAGTTTTTTATATCTCCTGTTGTGTTTTGACACCTAAGCCAAGTGTCTTTTTATTTTAGTCAAATGAAATGCAATTAAATTATGATGCCAAGGCAAAAAAAAAAAATCATTGTTTATTGAAATTAAATATTTTATTGGGTTTGCATTGGGTTTTTTTTGCCTCAGCTTTCCCCTTCCTGATAGGGAATGCAACTATATTCTATGTGTGAGGCTGTGGAAAGCAGCAGTTTGTAGTCAGTATGCTCTTGGGCACTCAAGTTAAATCAGTGCTAGCAATTAAAAAGCAAGGAAGCAGGTTAAAACAGTATGAGGAAAAATAATTTCCCTTTTCAGTTAATGAGGTTTCACGTGACAGAAGAGAGGATGAAAGGCTTTGACGTGGTCTGTTGTGTGGCTCTTATCAGCAGTAGTGCCTAGGAAGTGACTGTAGGATGTCCATGCTTGCAGTCCGCACCTCATCAACTCCCAGGCTGGAGTTTATGAAGCTGTACCTAGAAGCTGGTGTGGCTTCACAAGCTAGCGGGCAATACCTCTGCCTTGCACAAACATCTGCCTTTGGGTGCTGGGGTTTCTGTTATCAGTATTGTTAACTTGTATGATGCTTTCACATTGGGCTGTGATAATGGCACTTATACATCACACTTTGAAGATGCTTTTTATTGACTTAATGTGAATATTATTGTCATCGTTTATTACGGGGAAGTATCTCATAGTAATTGAAATGCAATATGGTGCCATTAATCACTCTGAATATGAAATGCTAACTTTAAACTGTTCATAGTGTATTAAATGCTCCTCTAACCATAAAACAATTTGACTTGCAGCCGATTAGTTTACACATGGCCAATGTTTAGGATTCGCAGTGATTGACATTTATGTGGCAGTATCCACATGCTTGTGATCCCAAACAAGCTACTTTATTTGGAGTTTCCATGAAGGTGCTAGGACTTGCAGCTTTCTGGTTCCCTGATACCAGGGGTAAAGGCATGCGAACTGCAGGCATGGCTGTCATTTGTTTAAAAGCATCTTCACTGCAAACCCCAGATACAAGATATGTGTGACAGTCTGAAGCACCCAGTAGGCTATGTATACGGACAGCTGCACTGCTAAAACATCACTGGCCTTCTTTTCTTGAGACACCTAGTGAGGGAAAGTAGTAAAAATGAGACAGAAAGTCAAATAATGAGGTTTTAGGTAGGGACTGTTGAAATAAAAGCCCATCTGCTTCCATGGGGTGCTTTTTGAAATTCTCTCTGCTGTATTACTTAGAAAGAAAAGGGCGTCCTGCTTTTAAAAATAGATTTTAATTAAAAAATAATCCACCCACCAAAAAGAAGAAAATAATCTAAACTGATAACCATAGTAAAACTATAACAGTGCTGTCCGCAGTGCTTCAGTCAAGTGTGCTAAAGCCCCTCCAGCTCTGCCTAGCTTCTGACCTCTCCTCATTGCCCACACCCAGAGAAGCGAGAGAAGCCTTCAGGAGCAGCCCCAGCCTGGCTCCATCTGTCAGGGGCAGCAAACTCCTCTGCACCCAGTGCTCTCAATTTTGGCAAGAGGCATCCAGCTTTGGTGTCAGGCCATGTCCATCCCTGCTGCCTACAGCACAAGCTTCATGCATGCCCAGTGGCACTGTGGCACTTGCAGGAGTGGGCAGGGGGTCTGTGTGCTGTGCGGCTGTGTGCACTGACCACACACAGATGCACAGCATCGCATGGCACTGCCTGGCTGGGAGCGGGGCAGGTCAGACAAAATGCAGCATTTAGAAAGCTCCAACATTTGCTGCTGCAGCAGCTGTAAGAAGCACCACTATTAAACCACTTTCAGGAGCCTCACTTTTTTACTGCTTGGATTTAAAAGCGTACCTCAATGGCATTCACAAGAGGGGAGAGGATGTGTAAGGTTATTTCGCAGGGCACATGTTTAAAGATTTTCCCAGAACAGCAGAGCAAGGTCTTTCTTCTGGGGAAGGAGGGGCTTGCTTTTTTTTTTTTAGCTGGAGCTTTATTGTCAATATG